TAAAGGGGACAGATACAACAAGAAGGCATAGATGCTTGACTTTACACTGTTGAGTTCATTCTAGGCCTGAGTGAGGAGCCAAAGATTTCCAGGAAAATGGTATCTAAATGTCTAGTAAAGGTCTCTAAGAGCATTCTAGAAGTCTGTGGGACTTACGGGGATAATTAATGGGTTAGGTATATTGCCAGCCTAGAGTGGGTGGGGTCAATACTTCTGGGCATGCTCAAACGTAGGCTGGGCCCTATATTGAAGAGTTTTCCTAAGTGGTTCATGACTTTTTTTTCTCTCTATACTGCAGGGTAGTTTTAATCTGCCCAGATGATAGTCCCACTATCATTAACAGTAATTATCATCTCAAGGTGAGGGGGTTGGAGGTGAGGAGGGTGGTTTGTCCTGTTACAGCAGTCAGGACTCAAAGGGACAGTGACAGATGGTGACTTATCCCTATACTGATGGCCTCAAGGAGTATGAGATAGGTTAGGTAGACAGAGACCCCTAGTAGGATTATCAAGCAGGAGTCTGTGCCAAAGTAAAGGAGACAGGCTTAAAAGAAGGTCACTGCTCTGTGCTTTGATCCTACTTCCTTTACTTTGTGGACTCAAGAGTCCATGATTTTTAACAAAAGCAGGTTCTACATAGCTATTACAAATTTATTATAAAAAGGGGTGTGGTGTCTAGACAGGCTTAAAGTCTATTGGCCTAGACAATACTCTAACCAAGCCCACCTTCAGTGTGTGTGCTGTATGCGGTTTTGTAATGGGCTGGTGAACTATAGTTATGCCATCTCATGAATTATTCGTGTTCCTAAGAATACTTCAGTGCAAAAACTATCTTGGGTAAAATCGGTCTCTGGACCAGCCCTAAATTCCTCTACAATGTGGCCCTGAGCTAAAGGCTAAGTGCCTGACCATTTGACGGTTATCTCTCCAGAGCTGCTTTTCGGTCTATGTCACGATTGCATTTTTTTGCCCTTAAAAACTCAAACCAACTGGAGGCCGAGGCTGCTTTCCTCTAATTTTCTTGGGACAGTCCCTTCAGTGATTTATAAGGACTCCATTCAATTTATTCAGGAATGTTTCTTTTCAGGTACCCCATAATAATACATGTATGGTACATGCACATGAATGTACAGAGGAGGACACAGACTATTTCCTGTATTGCTCTCTCCTATTGCCTTGAGACACTGTCTCTCACTGAACCCGAACATCTGTTTTGGTTAGGTAGTATCCTGAATCTACCCCTCTGACCCCCCAGTACACATGCCTGGCTTTTTACATGGGTGCCTGGGATCTGAACTTAGATCCTCATGTTTGCAAAGCAAGCACTCTTATCCACTGAGTCATCTTCCTAGCCCAACCATCTACCTTCTTACTACTTTTATTCATTTGGCAGGGGAGTGAAGGCAGATAAAACATAAACCAATAAAAGCACAGGAAGAAAAGAAACTACATGCCTAACCATGGGTATCAAACCAGGTATCTATCACAGATTATTAAAAAGATTCTTTGTGGAGTCTGAGTGATGGAGAGAGAGTGTATAGAAAGCTTTCACAATACTTTTAGAGCCCAGGATTTGGAAGGCAGAGGGCAAGACCCTCTTCTAGTGCAGAGTGGGAGGGACTGCTGCAAGCTTATGAATGCAAAGAGAAGAGGCCCAGCCCAGACACTGACACCTGCACAGAAAACATGGAGAGGCCAGGGTTGTTGTGCATGCAGGCCTAAGGCATTGAGGGATTTTACTGTCAGAGCACTGAGCACTATTTATCATAGCCTGTCACTACTGCTAAGGAATAAATGTTTCATTTTCTAATTTAGAGACACTAAACATGCTAATATTAGAGTCATTCATTTAAGTCTAGAGGTCTCAGAGCTTGGAATATGGAAAGAGATGCTCACTCACTGTAATCTGCCAAGGCTTTCAGACAATGAGCTTTCCAGACACAATGCTGCAGGGGTTCTGTGGTCTTAACACTAAGGTGAACCCTTCAGAGCTAGGGGTCTTGACCAGAAAGCCCAAATAAAACTGGAGTTTGAAAAAAAAAACCCAAAGTACAATCTTTCAGAAAAGTCCAGAGTTAGGGCAGCTTCAGGGTGGTCAATTCCTGATCTAATCTTGTATTTTTAGGTTCCAGCTCTTCCCATTGTCCTTCCTGGTCCTCACAGCTTGTCCTATGACGCTGCTTCCCTTCCCGGTCCTCATATGGTTGTCACAGCTTCTCACTCACAAGTGTCTAGAGTAGAAAGAGGACATTGCTATGTTAATTTTCTTAAACTCAAAGCAAATCCTTCTAGAAACTGCCCCCACCCACAGACTGCCTCAGATTATACTGGTTGGTAGGTCAAACACCCATGCTTAAATCAACTTTGCCAAGACCAAAACCCATTGCCTTCATTTTGACCAAGCAATACCCATCCTCTTTGGCTACAAGGGCCGAACCTTCACGGGAGGACATGGCTACCCTGGGCAGGGTTAGCAATTCGGCTTCAGACAGCAAAGAGGAAGAGCCACAACAGTGTGCACCCCACAATCAGCAATCTCTAAAATTGTCTCTACCCATCAAAGCTATTTACTTTGTACATATGCAGACTTGGCACAGTATACAGCCCGGGATTTCTATGAATATAAACAAGTGATGCTACTGACTGGCCACATTCGATGCCTACTTTGTGTTAACTGTGTACCAACCCAGTTTTAAGTTCCCGAAACCTTGGAGCAGTGACCAAGTAACTGAACCTTCTAGGGACATTATGCTCCAGTTGTTACCCAGAGAATGTTAAGGGTCCATCTAGTTCATGTTCTCTCACCCTGATGATTTTGAGAAAGGAAGGTGGCAAACCAAGTTTTCCAAAGAAAGATCTATCCTACAAGCAGCACAGGACCTGTGCTGACTGGTTGTATGTCAACTTGGCACAAGCTGGAGTCGTTTGGAAAGAGAAAACCTCAATTGAGAAAATGCCCCAACAGATTGGCCTGTGGGCATTGTGGTAGTTTGAATGTAATTGGTCCCCAATGAACTTAGAGGAAGTGGCATTAGGAGGTGTGGCTTTGTTGGAGTAGGTGTGGCCTTGTGGGAGGAAGTGTGTGACTGTCGGGGCAGGCTTTGAGGTTTTTTTCTATGTCAAGATACCACCCAGGGTGTCCTTTGACTGACTTCCTGTTGTTCTGATCAAGACGTAGCTTCCAGCATGTCTGCCTGCACACGCCCATGCTCCCCACCATAATAGGCTGAACCTCTGAAACTGTAAGCGAGCCACTTAAAAAAAAAATGTTTTACTTTTAAGAGTTGCCATGTCGCCGGGCGTTGGTGGTGCACGCCTTTAATCCCAGCACTCGGGAAGCAGAGGCAGGTGGTTCTCTGTGAGTTCCAGGCCAGCCTGGTCTACAGAGCTAGTTTCAGGACAGCCTCTAAAACAATACAGAGAAACCCTGTCTTGAAAAACAAAACAAAAGTTTCCATGTCAGTTGGGTGGTGGTGGCGCTCACCTTTAATCCTAGCACTCTGGAGGCAGAGGCAGGCAGATCTCTGTGAGTTCAAGGCCAGTCTGAACTGATCCAGTTCTAGGATAGCCAGAGCCACACAGAGACCCCTGTCTTGAAAAACAACCAACAAAACAAAAAACAAAAGAAAAAAGAAAGTCATGGTGTCTCGTTACAGCAATAGAAACAAACTAAGACAGGCATTTTCTTAATAGACGATTTATGTGGGAGGGCCCAGCTACCTGTGGGCAACGCCACCCTGGGCAGGTGCTCCTGGGCGCTATAAAAAATGGGCTGATCCAGACAATAAGCAGCACTTCCCCATGGCCTCTACATCAGCTCCTGCCTCCAGGTCCCTGCCCTGTTTCAGTTTCTGCCTTGGCTTCCCTTAATAGATTGTGACCCAGATTATGTAAGCCAAATAAATTCTGTTCCTCCCCAAGTTGCTTTTGGTCAGTTTTATCACAGCAACAGAAACCCTAAAACAGGGCCAAATGCACAATTAATGCCTACAGGGAAACAGCCAAGTTGGATGCAGTGTCTATTCTACAAAGAAAGAACAATGGTGTATTTAAGCCACTTAAAACATTCTTCACTCTGTGATGCCTTTGACTACTGCAGTGACCTCAGAAGGCAGGCTGAATGGCCAGCCAAGTCCAACAGAATACCTACCCTTCAAAAGGAGACTCTTGCCATCCAACTCCATTCACAAAAATGCTGTTTTCTTTATAAATATCTAGATAGTTCTCTTAAGAGGTGTTTTGAAAACTGTAATTTCTGAGTTATGTGCAAGCCCTATTTGTTCCTATGGTTTTGTGATAGAAGAGCCCTGAGTCAGAGTAAGTTGCAGCTGGGTGGTGGTGGCACATATCCCAGCACTCAGGAGGCAGAGGCAGGGGAATCTTTTGAGTTGGAGGCCAGTCTGGTCTACAGAGCAAGTTCCAGTACACCCAGGGTTACATATTAAGACCCCATTTCAAACAAACAAAATACAAAACTTGTGTTATCTAGCCTGACAACTGAGTTGGCTCCTGGAACTCAAATGGAGGAAGGAAGAGAAGCAAGTCCTCAAAGCTGTGCCCTGGCCTTGTGCCGACTGGTTTTATGTTAACTTCACGCAAGTCAGTCACTTGGGAGGAGGAAACTGAGAAGGCGCCTCCACCAGGCTGGCCTGTGGGCAAGCTTGTAGTGCATTCTCTGTGATTGATGATGATAGATATGGGGAGGTCCATCCCACTGTGGGCGGGTCCACCCCTGGGCTGGAGATGCTGTCTGTAAGAAAGCAGACTGAGCAAGCCAAGAGAAACAAGTCAGTAAGCAGCCTCCAGGTTCCTGCAGTAGGATGAAGTAAACACCGTCCTCTCTGAGCCGCTTTTGGCCAGGGTCAGAAATAGGAACCCTAACACAGACCTCCGTAAGTATACTATTCTGCACACCCTATTCTGTCTATGAACATGTGCACATATGTGCATAATAAAAACTTAACTTGAAAAGCTTTTCTACTAAAATAATCCACACAGAAACAAAGTCAATTAAATTTTATTTCAACCAAGAATATAAAATACATGTAACTTATCGTAGCTGGAACAGTCACTTTGAGAAGGATGGCTGGGTAACTCAAGAGCGGAAGTACTCAGTTCTGAGGAGACGGCACATCCTGCATCCCCAGAGGAGGCAACATAGCCTGCATCCCCAGAACGGACTACTGAGGGCCTCAGGCTTGGAGTATACACATCACAGCAGAGCAAGGAGAGCCATGGCAATATCTACGGTCATACAGAGGGGGTGCGTGCAGAAAGTGACCGAAAAAGAGACAGGTACACTTCACAAGTAGGATTATCAGAAATACAAACTAGTTTAGAAAGGACATACTGTATAACATATATAAAAAGTACTTTCAGTTGTTATTAAAAAGGACACTCAGTCCTGGCTTTGTATAATGCTTTTAGTGTCTACCCAGACAAAGCTTTAAAAAAATTAAATAGTCTTAATTTACTCACTAGGTGATAACAGTGCATTAGGTAATTTCCCGTATAACACATACGCAGCACTCTTTACCCGCAACAGCTTAGAGGAGTAGTGCCTCCTTGGGTACAATACAAACTCCTGGAACACTGACCTGTGGGTATGATATTTGTAACTATTCTTGATGATTGTGGGGACCTAAACTGCTACATTTTGTATAAAATTATGACTTGTACCTGACTCCTTCAAGCCCAATGGCCATCGACGACTGCCTTTCTCATCTCCCACGGAGCAGGGAGACACAGCTTCTGTGCAAGTCTTCCTCAGCTGCGGCTACATATTAACAACTCAAAAGCACAGCAAGCTGCAAACCTTACTCTCCAATTCCTTTTCCTTTTAGAGGTGAAAAGAGCATCATTTCAGAGGCACAGAGAACTAGTAACTTGTTGCACCAGGCCTGAGACAGTGAACATGCATGCATGTGGATGCCATCCCTTCCTGTCTGGAAGGTATGTTATGTCAGAGTGAAATAGTGCAGGCTGTCAGAATTCTAAGTCCTAAAGTCTCAAAAGCACAGATACAAAAATAAACATGTCCTTGATTTCTGCATCTCACTTCATGGTTTGCTTCAGCCTCGTATTACCAGCCCAGGCTCAAGCTACCTTACTTTTAAGCTAGTGTGTCCCAATCTCCTGACCCCCCAAACACCTCTATGCAAAAGTTACCTCTAAAAGTGACCTCTAAATAAATGAAGAGACACCTTCCGACTCAATCCTTCAACACCATCCTAGACTCCGAGGTTCCCATAAGTCTGAGGATGCCTCCGTGTCCTTAGAGGACAAAACAGTATCTAAGAAATGTTCACAGAGGATTGCAACATTTGAGGCTCACAAAGGTAAATTCTACCCTTAAGAAGTTTCACAGGTCCCACCCTGTGGACTATGGCCCTACTGTATATGAAAAGCTTTGCTTCCTTTATAAAGAAAGGAAATAATGAGCAAAAGTTACTTCTAAGAGTACTGGGCACAGGTATGCATTGCCAACCCTGAGGCAAGAAGAGAAAAGCAACGGGTCAGAACCAGTGCAGTGATGTGGTACCCAGACGTGTACAGAATGGAGCTGGCTGGCTATGTCCTGTGAATGTGTAAGTGCATACTGCCAGAATCATGTATCCAGTTTTCATACAAAGAACTGTTGGTATTTTGTTTTATGCACAGACTGGGGCTAACATCTTTTATTAAATGTGAGTTCACTCAAAGGCAAGAACAGAGCTTCTATTTTCTGTGATTTCCTACAACCACTTGGTAGATTGTGCTCTGTCCGCAAGGGCCACCCAATTGCTGTTGAAGGCTGCTGTGAGCATTTCAAATATGCATAGATGCCTTTAGTGACAGTTACTCACTGCCTTTCTCCTCTAGTGGTCAGCCTCATACCTGCTTCCCATAACACTGTTTACTATAAATTCAGAAGCATAGTTGTCCAAGTGGGTTCAGAAGTAAACAAAAGGACCTTCATATCACATGACATTTACAAGTGGCATAGACATCCCACATGAGCTTATTGTCACTGAATTGGCTGTAACAAGGAATGTGTCTTGTTCTTTGTTTTTCTACCCTGCAGAGCATTGAGCCTGTGGTAAGGGAGTAGTGGCCCTGGACAGAGGCTCCAGGACACAAGACAGAACTTTACATAGGTAGCTACATTATGCAGGAGGCTGATTCTTATTTTAAAACACATAAGGGGCAAAAATACATGGAGCCAGTCAGAAACTCCTCCCAGGGAAGCATTCATTGATTTCCTCTTCAGGCTTGGTATGCTGTCACCATACAATCTTTATTACTACTTATAAGCATTATTATGCTCAACTCAGTATGGTCCTGGCTGGCTACAGCATCACATCAATAGTGCAAAATGTATACTGGCTTCAAAAATCTTATTTTACTTGAATATGGACCCCAGAGTATCATAACCAGGTAGATAAGTTCACAAGAATAGTTTTTTAAAATGCATATAGTTTGCATATACAACAATTGGCTATTTTCTCTAGCTCAAGAAACATTGAAAACAAGGCTGGTGCTGCTAGTAGCATCAGAACATAGATGGTCTTGCCCCCTGCACTACAATGGGGGCTCTACGCCTTTACATTTCCTCTTGACTCTGGAGGGCGAGGGATTCCTTAAAAGTAGCTAAAAAAGAACTCCCCTCTAATTCGTAGATCATGGAAATGCAAATATTCACCTCAACTACTTTACACTACCTGCCCATAGTTTTTAGGCACAATTATTAAGTTTTTTCCTAGGGGCCAAAGAAAAGCATTCAGTGCGATAAAAAGACCCTTGACAGCGTTAAGTCTCAGTAACAACGGCAAAATTATGCATACAGAATACATACTCTGAACACGGATAAAACCTAAAATTTTAACATGCTTTAAAAATAGCCACTCTATGCCTAATGTAAATACAAATGGAGAACACTGCAGAAGAATTAACAGCTTTGATTTGAGTATCCTTGATTATATAAGAAGTCACTCATGCTGACCCAGATGTGGAGACTAAGGACTCAACATCTCCTTTGGAGAAGTCAGTGCCCCCGACGATATACAGAGAAGCTTTTCCTCCGAAGGGAACAGCTGTCTTTGATCAGCATGACGCCTTGGTGAAGTCATAGTGCAGGTACAGTCTCTTCAGATTTCCAGGTAGCTCCAAAGGACCATATTTCATCAAAGCTCTTGAAACCCCTTTTAAAGTAGACTTAGCTACATGAAGGTTTAAATTATAATTTTTAATTACTGAATAGTATTCAGAATATGATGACTCTGGGAACTAAGTTCCACATGAACAATTACATAAAAACCACCAACTACTTCAGTTCTTCATCGCACAAGCATGGCAGCTGCAAAGATCGACACTGTTTCTGGTTGTGGGTACCCTCTGTCCCACATGTGTCTTTTACTAGACCTTCCCTGAAAGAGATAAATAAAAACGTAACACTAAAGTACTTTGGGACAGTAACAGTTTCTTTTTAAGACTTCCAAGAGCAAAGCAGTTAGTCTGTGCAGACTGTGTAGTGCTTTAAAAGGTGCATGACTTGTGTGGCTAAATCAGTTCATGAAGTATAAAACTATACACCATGGAACCCTGTTCCTAAAACACTGAAGTCCTAAGAAAAGATAAAAGTACAATGATTGCTACAGCATGAGAAAGGTGCACCAGAAACTCCTTCAGAAGCTGCTGAGGGTTACAGGAGTGCTGGGGTAGACCAGAGGCTTCATCAGGGAGTCACCGAGGAATTCATGCGGGGAAGAGGGCTGGGGACACTTCACAAGATCTTCTTTAAGTCGACGAAGAAGATGTCAGTCCTTCCAAACACTCAGTATGCAAAGCTTCCCTCTCAAGTGTGTGAGTTTGTGTAGAGTCAGTCTTCTTTCTGGGGTTCTTCGCAATACAGATACCACCCTGCTGGAGGCCGCGCTGCACTGTGCTGGCCGGGCAGAGGCTGCGGTCAGTACCGGTGTGTCTGGTGAGACGGGTGGTACTGTGTACTCTGTTGAGATGAGGCGTAGCCTAGTGTGCTCTGGGACTGGGAAGACCCCTGAACGCTGCTTTGGTAATTCAGGCGGGAACTGGAGTGCTAGGAAAAACAAAACAGGAAGGGGGGTGACTGACTGCAGAGAAGAGCCCAAGATGCCAACCACAGTAGGACAGAGGTATTAGCTACTTTCACCCCAAGGTCCCTGGCTCAGATCTACAGCAGGCGACACACTGTTTCTCTGAAATATGAAATAGCATCTTAGGCTGTAACTACCCCGGATGGCACTGACTTTGGCTGTGTAGTGGGGAGTGTGGGCTATACTGGTTAAAAAAAAAAAAAAAAAGGCAGAAGGGATTAACCTTTTACATGACTAAGATTTGACAACAAAACAATTTGGTAAACAGAAAAAAAGACATAACTGCATACTGTTAATTCTCACTCTCATAATTAGCTGTGACTAGGAAATCATTCTTTTAAGGCAGAGTTTTCAGAGGCAGAAGCTAGGGACATTGGAAGCCTGCCAATCATCAGACAAGTAAGGCTGACAGGGGAGGCTAGCAGTGGGTAGTTATTATAAACTTCAGGTAATGAAATATTGTCACTAATAAACCTTACTTCCTAGCTAAAAATTAAATAAAGCAGACAGTTTTCAGTCTAGGATAAACCTTGTGCTACAACAACTTTTTTAACGGCAATATTTTCTTTTTCAACAGGGAAGGAATGCACATCCTTTTCTTCGTGTGTGTGTGTGTGTGTGTGTGTGTGTGTGTGTGTGTGTGTGTGTGTGTGTGTGTGTGTGGTAAGGTAAGGCAGGGCTGGCCTAGAACTCACTACATAAGTCAGGCTGGCCCTGGGCCTCCCCACAATCTATCTGCCTCACCTCTCAAGTGCTGAGATTCCAGGGTGAGCCACCATAACCATGCTCCTTTTTAAAGTATTCATCATACTTGCTTATATTGAAACTGCCTAAAACCCTACACATGGAAACTAAACAAGGCAGTTTCTTCACAGAATAGTTCAATCTGGTGCTGAACAAAACAAGGCAAAAGTAACTCAGAATTGAATACAAATAAATAGATAAAAACCAAAACAAAAAAAAAACAAACAAAACAAAATATGACACTGTTTTTAAGACACTGTTAAAAATGGTTTTTTAGCGCACGCCTTTAGTCCCAGCACTCGGGAGGCAGAGGCAGGCAGATCTCTGTGAGTTCGAGGCTAGCCTGGTCTACAGAGCCGGTGCCAGGATAGGCTCCAAAGCTACACAGAGAAACCCTGTCTTGAAAAACAAACAAAAAAAACAAAAAAAAAGTTTTCTTTTTAAATTTTGAAGACTGTGCTAAAACAAACCTAAAGATACTTTACTCGTTATAAATCCAAGAATCAATGTGAGGGAAAGTACTTTCCCTTTAGTTTCCTAAATTAATAGTAAAGCTAATTTCCTTCTTGTCTTTACACCAAAAGTATTATCTAGTGTTAAAACAATTTTAGTCTGACTTAAACTGTTCGTGAGAACTGTTGTTCAGCCTTTATCATCTCCCATGCCTATATGGCTGCTGACTGTTTCCTCCAATAGGAGCCATCTTTCTAAGTGCTCTTGATTTTTGTCCGAGTAAGACACTTACCCAGTCTGCAGCCCATATGGATGGACTGATATTTTCTTTAAGGAGCCTTCCTGTCTCCCTTTCCCTCCTTGGGGTGTTACGATAAACGATACACAATATAAAATACCTCATGACTGCATCAAGAATGTTTAAAATCTTCTGGGAATTTCACGTAATGCCTGAAATATCTAGTTTTCATATCAGATTTTGGAGCTAAAGCGATTTGTTAAAAGTCAATTTCCCATTTCATACATTCCTATCAGCAAGAAGCAGACAGGGAGTACCTGATAATCTGTCGGTACAACAGGCCCGCCCGAGCTTGCACCCGAAGGCCCCATGCGGGGCTTCTTGTTTGGAGGCACCTGGTTCAGGCTGGAGTCCTGGCTGTGCTGCAGCCCTGCTCCAGCACCGGCGGCGGCAGCCGCAGCTCCCCCTGAAGTCCCATTGGTCTGGGCACCGCTCTGCTGTGGTGGGGGGGCCTGTGGTGGGGCTGCCGTCTGCTGTGGGGGGGCTGTGGGCTGCTGATGTGGGTTCTGCTGCTGTGGCTGATTCTTTTCGGGGAATGGGGAGCAGGGGAGAGAAAGATCCAAAATTTTACTGTGAAGCCAGATGAATGGGAAATTCACTTCATTACTTGATACCCATGACTGGTGACATACCTAGGATACAACCTGGTCACATGGGGTGACTAGAATGACTAGAGATGGGTAACCTCCAAAATATACCATTCCCAAAGATTGATCCCTGAATAGTAATGCTCTCTCAAGTTCATTTAGACCATGTAGCATCTCCAAATCAAACAGACATTTCAGTGGGTAGCAAAAGGCACATGGAAAATGCCATCACACCCCTTAAAACTAAAAGCCCTTTCAGTCAGGACTTTGCAAAGCAAGAGCAGTGGGGAGTGGCTAACATACCCAACTGACAAAAAGGAATGGAGTGATGCCCACCAAAGCACAGCAGGGTGGAGATGCCCCTGGACAAACAAAATTAGGAAGAACTAGGAACAGAATGGGCTAAGACACAACAGGAAGTTTGGTTTAAACTTCATACACTTTCAGCCTCCAAACTCCCACAAAGAGCAAAGTAAAAATGGGTTAGATAAAAGGTGGCAAATGCACAGAGATCATCAAATTATCCCCTCAATTATCCTTGTGTTGTTTTTACGCTCTCCAAGTCAGTGATGCATGAAGCTTATACCTTGTCGCCCTTCTCTTCTGGTTCATCTTCATTAAGAAACTCTCTTTTGGGGTATGGAATCTGGCAGCCAGCAAACACACTAAAACCATTTAAAAGAAATACATATCAATACCTAAAATCTGTAATTCTATCACCTTACCTTAAAATTTTATTTTATTTATTAACTTACATCCTATTTTTTATTGTGGCTGGTGTTTGCTGAACACATGCAAACAATTTAAGCAGTAAGGAAGGAGGAAGTCCCCATATGCCCCTCCTGCTGACTGCCACTGCCACTGCCAGCAGGCTCACACAAACGACACAGAACTTTGTCCGCACTACTCCATCAGAATCAAACTAAACTGACTTTGTAATTGCTTTAACATGAAAAAAGTCTTCCCCCGCAGGGAAAGAAAAGTGTTTTTAATATATAGAAGCCGGGACATGCGTTTGTAGGGGAGAGGTGTCTGCAGGCTGTCACATGCACCATTCCTTTGCGTAGCCTCTCATCGTGAGGCCTGCTGCCTGAGTCCCATCTGTCTGTTCTGGGTTCATCTAGGAAGCTGGTGTGGCCTTTCTCTGAGGACATTTTATGATGGGGGATGTCCTTCTGTAAGCTGTGAACGTATGTTTCTCTTACTGGCTGATGAATAAAGCTGTTTCAGCCAATGGACAGGCAGCATGTAGCCAGGCAGGAAGTATAGGTGAGGCTACCAGACTAAAGAATGCTGGGAAGAGGAACTCAGAGAGAGTCGAAAAGGAGACACCATGCAGCTACTAGGAAAGTAGGTCCCCTTGGCATTCTCCGTCCACTTGGAAATACATAGATTAATAGATATGGGTTAATAATTAAGAGAGAGTTAGCCAATAAGAAGCCTGAGCCATCAGCCAAACAGTTTATAATCAATATAAGCCTCTGTGTGTTTTTTTGGGACTAACAGCTGTGGGACCAGGCGGATAGAAACTTCTGTTAACAATTTTCCTCTGTACAGTCTGCATGAGCAAAGGCAGAGCATGTCAGGCAAGTGCTCCCGGCACTCAGCAGTAGCCAACACCTTCCGTTTGGAGCAAAGACCAGGGAGAAGGAAGGGTACCTACTCTAACGTGGGCAAGGGGTCCTCCTGAAAATAAGGGTCCTGCAGAGCCTGCTCCGAGGTGATCCTCTTCGTGGGATCCATGGTGAGGAGTTTCTGAAGCTAGCAACAAGAAACAAGACAGCACATGAAAAGGTTGCTGATAAGCCACCTGCCTGACCTCTGTACTGGTGTCTGACATAATTACCATTAAATACAACTTTTACACATTAATGCACAAACGAGTGTGAGTGCGTGTGCATGCGTTTAGAGTAAGTTCATTCAAATGAGTCCCAGGAACTGCGGCTCAAAGCCAAGCTCTCAACACTTGGCGGCATGTGCCCTTGCCCTCACCATCGAGTACAGCTGCACCATTAGTACTCCATACACACATTTATGAAATTAAGACTAGAAGTCAAGGATGATTCTCAATAGAATAATATTAAATTTCTAAAGCATCCAGCAATTAAATTCTCTCTCTCTCTCCCTGTCAAAAGGGAGACTAGCTGGGACAGTTCCGCAGGGAACAGGACAAGAGGAGAGCTGTGCTGAGCAGGTTGCAGCGGGGAGAGAAGCACCTACCAGGAGGAACACCTTGCTGTCAGGTTTGACCTTGTGTTTCTCCATGTACTTTATGAGGCTACTGTTGGCATATCTGCAAGGACACAAGCGCATGTCAATAGGAGCCCACATGATCTGTATTCCTAAAGAACACTTCTAAGGCAAGCTTCTATGTGCAAACACATTACTTAATATTGACACGATATGAAAAAAAAACAGTTGTTAATCACTACTTTCAGAGTTTTTAGTGCCATGGTGGTCACATTGGGAATGCTTGTGTATAACCACTGGAGATGAAAATACAAGTCTCTTGAAATTCAGTAATTGTTGTGATACACTCACATCTAAGAGATGGCTTGCTTGCTTTCTGCTTAGGTCATGCATGTTAGGCAAGTGCTCTATAGCTGGATGTCACTCTCCCACCTTTCCCCCTTTGTGTTTTAAGACAGGTCTCACTAAGTTGTGCAGGCCTTGAAACCACCCTTCTGTCTCAACCTCCTGAGCAGCTAGGATCACAGACCTTTGTTACCAGGCCTAGCTTAAGAGACACTTTCACACGTATCAGACATATGAGAATATTCTTATTAGCCAAACAACAACAAAACCCACCAACCTATAAACAACCAAATATTCACCTATTAAAGAAACAGAAATGCCAGGTAAACCAACTGTAAATGTATTCAGAGTAAATGAAATATTATAGATCCATACAACTGAACACAGAAGATGAATGACACCATTTACATAAAGCTCACAGACATATCAAACTAGTAAGTATTAGAAACACATACATGTATACTAAAACTGTGGGATCACAACCACAAATTCAGAACACCCAGTCTTTCCTCTGGGAGGCAATGAGGAGGGAGGTACCCAGAGATGTCAGCAATTAGTAACATGTTAATTCTTAGATTAAGAGGCCAGTGGAGGGGATGTTCATTTGATTATTCTAAGTATACAACACTGTAACACTACTTCCTATGTATGAAATACTTAAAATTTCAATGGTTTCAAAATATAAAAAATATATATTCTACATATATAAACCACTGTCAGTGTTGTGATAATCTCTCCTTTTTCATTATTTATTTATTTGTTTGCTTGCTTATTTGTGAAGCAGAAGTGGTGTTTCTTAAGATTGTTTAAATAGGCTGGGTGGTGGTGTCACACACCTTTAACCCCAGCATTCAAGAGGCAGGGGCAGGAGGATCTACATAGTCCTGAGGACAGCTTGGTCTACACAGTGAGTTCCAGGACAGCCAGAGCTACATAAAGAAACCCTGTTTCAAAAACCAAATAAAACAAAACCCTCAAACCAAAAAGGTGCTAGAGAGGCGTCAGGGGGCAAGAATGAGATGCTTCAGAGTAGATGTGGCTCCCCAAGGACAGTCACCCTTGCTTTATGTCTCTATCCACACATACATGGTAAAACCAGGGGATTTTTTTGCTCTGGTTTGATAAAATTAGAACCACTATAAAAATTCTGTTTTTACATTGAATGTTGTCTCATTAATATTTCCTTTATCAAAAGTTCTATAAAATTGTTCTTAGTAACTGCATTACCTACTTATCTGGGGCTGTTTCATCACAGCTATGAAATATATATGTCTTATGGGCTAACTTGGCACACATGGCAAGGATACAACATTGCATGAGAACTGGGGACTGGCTTGGTTACTTCTCCATTGTGTAATCCTGAGCAACAGGTTAACATCTATGGAGACTTAGTTCCTCATTAGAAAAAGAAAAAGTGGATTATAACTGTACCTGCCCTATAAATCTGTTCCCTAGAAAGAGCATAAAGGACTTAACACTACCTTGTAACAGCCTGATGTTCATAGGATAACTCCCTGGGATGATCAGGTCAAATGTGCACATTCTGAAGTATTTTTGTTGCTGTGAGCCTTTTGCTTTCTACTTTGCAAAGTGCTAGGGATCAAGCCTAGGGTCTCACACATACTACTAGGCAATAAGCATTACTATTGAGCTACATATCCCTAGCAATATTTATTTTTCATGTACAAATGTATGACTGCATGTATGTATGTGCCCTACATGTAAATAGTGACCTGAGAGGCCGAAGAGGGTGTTGGATTCCCTGGAACTGGAGTTACAGATGGTTGTGAGCTAACACATGGGTTCTGGGAATGTAGGCAGAGTCCTCTGCAAGAGCAGCCAATGCTCTTACCTGCGGGGCCATCTCTCTAACCCTGTCTTGGGGATGGGATTTTGTTATTTTGCCCAGGTTAGCCTCTTGGGTATCTGGGCCAGCAGGGTGTACTTCCCAGCACCCAGTTCAGCAGCTGCACCTATAACAAGTCTTGTTCTCACAGAAGAACAGAAGCCAAGTGCCCACTTTACCGAACCCTGATTGATGGACAAGGTAGGTACTGGGAAGAAGACTTAGGTTCAGAGAAATCGTTTCTCTTCCTGTCTTAAGGCTTCTTTGTCCAATCAGCTATTTTCCTGAGTTAACACTAGATGCTAGGTTGTCTCAATCATATAAAAAGCCTTGAATTCACCTTACTGTGGAATATTTGGTTATAGTTGTTCTGTTTTTTTCTTAGTGTTGGAGTTAGTATATAGTGTTTACTTTCTAAACTCTTCTAGGATGAACAGTTTCCAAAGTGACATAAACTTTCTAATTATTTATCCTTGTGTTTATTTGAACATGCAGGTTTTCAAAGTAAATTTAATGATATCCTTCAAATGTATTCTTTCTTTTACTTTGGTTTGCTGAGGAATAAATCCAAACATCTTTCTAGTGAACAGCCTGACTCCCTCAGTCTTGCCTTGTTTTCTAATGAGCTACTTGGAGCTGACACTTTAGAACAGCTACAAAAACATCTACTGTCATTCTTAGCAATTCATTTTGGAAGTTCTTTTTTTCTGATAAAAGCAAGCTAATATTCTTTTACTTTTGAAATACTATTTTATTTCAAATAAAGTAGTTTCTAGATCACAGTTTTCAGCATATTTTGCTTTAATGATTTCTATTGTTTGCTGTTGTTTTTGTTTTGAGACAGGATCTTATTATGACCCTGACTGTCCTAGGGCTCCACTATGTAGACCAGGCTGGCCTATTCAGAGATCAGACTTCTTCAGCCTGTGATTAAAGGCATGTGCTACCACACCCAGATTGAATAGGGAAGAAATACTACATGAAGGCCACTGCAGGATCACAAGGAGAACACACCGCTGTTCTAACTACTGGCAAGGCTGATGGGCAGAAGCAGATTCCAAGCATTTCTAGAAAAAGGAATCTTTTGGAGAGGTAATCATGCAGAGAGGTAAGGGGAAGTCAAATGCATGAAGAGTGAGACAGGAGGCTCTGACTCACACGCCTCGTGCTTGAACAACTAGGTGAATCATGGAGCCATTTCTTAGGACATGAAATATCGGGCAGAGGTACCACAGCATCTCTCATAAAGGAAAACATTTAATTGGGGTTGCTTACAGTTTCAGAGAGTTAGTTCATTATCATGGTGACACATGGCGGTATGCAGGTAGACGTGGTACTGGAGAAGTAGCTGAGAGTCTTACATCTTGCAGGCAACAGGAAATGGACTGAGGCAGTGAGCGTGGCTTGGGCATATATGAGACCTCAAGACTCACCCCTACAATGGCATACTATTCCAACAAAGCCACACTTCCTAAGAGTCACTCCCTATGACTTTATGGGGGCCAATCACATCCAAATGTTTAACATCCAAATGATCACAGCAGTTTAATAAGTGAATTTGAAAATGGGAGGAATGCTGTGTAATATATGCGGTCAGTGAGCTACAACCCCAAAATTTGAAATCCAAAGCATTTCTAGAATCTGCAAAAACCCCTCAAATCTAAAATACTTTTCTAGTCCCAAACTTCACTACACTTTTAAAAAGACATGCATTATTTCTGTGTGTAGACATGCTTGTGTCTGCATGTACCACAGCAATGGGGGCCGGAGGAACGTCACACCCAGCTTTCCAGGCTCCTGCTGCTTCTACCCACCGAGCACCTCTCAGGGCCTTTTCAAGGGACATGTAATCTGTACAATGGAGAACTTCAGTTTTCCTGGCGGAAAACTGCGGCACTCCTGTGAGGGGTTTTATTACCACTACTAGTTTTACTTAAATATCATTTTAACGTGTATGGGTGTTTTCCTGCAGAGGCTAAAATGGCATCTCTCAAGTTCCTTCTTTTTCTCTTTCTTAAAAAATATTTCCTGTGTGTGGGCATTTCGGCGGCATGTATTTCTGTGTCTGTGCTCATGCAGTGCACACTGGAGGTCTGAAGAAGGTATAAGAGTCACAAACCTGGAGTTACGGACACTTGTGAGCTGCCAAGGAGGTACTAGGAATGTGAGGATTATTTGAAACAGGAAGACACCTTCCCCCTCCCCAAATATGGGCAGCACCTCCCTGGTGACAGCCCAGATAAAAAATACATGAAAGAAGAAAGCTGGTTTTGCCTGCTTGCTCTCGCTCTCACTGGCAAGTCTACCTATCCTGTTGCGGCTGCTGTTTCTTCAGCATTCTTTGGAATGCCGATGCAGACTCAAGTGGGCAGCTCTCCATGGTCTTCCAGCCCTTCCTTCAGTGCAGATGGAGACTGCTCAGACAGTCACCAGCCTTGCGGACTGTACAACTCCCCAGTTGTCACCCTCTCCACCACGAGATGACCCATCGTTGGACTAACAGACTACCTCTTACAAGGCAATCTAACAAAGCACACACTCTCCGTGTCTCAGTTCTGTTCCTCAGAGAAGCCCGGCTAATAACGCTGCCTTTGCACTCCCTTCCCCTCTGCTCAATGCACTGCTCCCGCAGTTTGCTTTATTCAGATGCTGGGCCATGTGGCTAAAGATGCTGGGCCATGTGGCTGCTCCTTGCCACCCGTCCTAGTTTCCCACTACAGCATCTCAGCCATCAACATTACTCAGACAGGAATAAAACTACAGCTCTAGTGTTGAACTGAGGCCTTTATTATGTTAAAACTGTAACTTTCTACTTTTTTTTTTTTGAGACAGGGTTTCTCTGTGTAGCCCTGGCTGTCCTGGGACTCATTCTGTAGACCAGGCTGGTCTCAAACTCACAGAGATTCACCTGCTTCTGCCTCCTGAGTGCTGGATGGAATTAAAGGTGTGCGCCATCAGGCCTGGCCTCTGTTTTTAAATATAACAGCCCTAAACTGTGTGTGTATATATATATTAAAATCATTTGGAGCCGGGCGGTGGTGGCGCACGCCTTTAATCCCAGCACTCGGGAGGCAGAGGCAGGCGGATCTCTGTTGAGTTCGAGGCCAGGCTGGACCGATAGCCTCCAAAACAATACAGAGAAACCCTGTCTCGTAAAAACCAAAAAAAAAAAAAAAAAAAAAAAAATCATTTGGAATAGTCTTTAAATTACAGGTATGACAGGTAAACTAACATCTGAATCTCTGGTTTAAATCTATATCCTTTTTGAAAAAGACTAACTTTTCCTACTGAAGTTATGCTCTGTAATTAATGAGTCTACGTATTTATATCACGCTCAACATTCATGCTGAAATCTAATTCCCAGTGTGTAAGTATCAAAGGGAGGCCTTCAAAGGTGTTTGTCATGTAGGGTTCTGCATCTGTGAATGGGATTAACATCTTAGAAGTGAGATTCTACATAGTTTCCACCCTTTGTCCTCCCACCAGAGGAGGCCACAGCAACAAGGGTACTCTTCAAAGCAGAGAGCAGATAGACAGACACCAAGCCTCCCAGCACCTTCATCCTGGACTTCCAGTCTCCAGAACTGTCAGAAAATTAATTCCTCGTGTTCAAATTACTCATCTCAGATTTTCATTTGTTTTTCCTAGCACACATGGATTTTGGTAATCCAGAATTACTCACGTTGTTCTTCTAAAGTCTTTCTGAAGTGTTGGGTACTCTGGCATTTTTCTAATATCTTCCCAGTCTTTATCTTTTAAAAAAAAAAGATTTTTAATAGAAAATACCTTATTAAAAGTCTAATTCTTTTAGTTTAAAAATAAACAAACAACAAATTTTATGCATGATCTTACAAAAGAGCACTTTTGAAATACAACTCAAAATAGTATTTTCAAAGGGCAACAAATTACCTGCAGGAAACCCCATGACACTAAATATCCGATCTAGTTGATCATGATGAAAAGGATTGCTTGTTTTTATATCCTCCTGACGACAGTGAAAAATAGGTTCTGAAGTCAACAATTCAGCAAATATGCAGCCTATTGCCCATATATCTACAAATGGAAAAACAACTTTTTATACAAGTGCATTACATTTCCTTAGTTACACTTCCTGAATATAATTCCCTCATACATACAAAAACATATTTTAGTAGGGCAGTATGTAAAGTATAATAAGCATATTGAGGAAACATACAGAAGCTAGGGATGTAGTTCAGTTGGTAAAGTGCCTGCCTTGAAGGCACAAATACAAAGGCTTAGGCGCAAGTCAGCATCACAAACCCTACAGCCATGGTGCCTCCTCCTCCCAGGTACCAGCACTGCAGGAATTAGTGCCTGGCAAGTAATTATGTTTTTATCTTAAATGGTAAATCTCATTACCTGGGGAAAAAAGCTACAAACTGGTTAAAATTTAATTTCAGTTCTCCTTACTCAAGGAAAAAATAGTTGACTTTTAATTTATAGTCAATTACATTTATTAAAAACAAACAAATACACAACAACAAACCCATCACATCTATTTCCTTTCAACAGCAGAAGGAAGCTACAAAAGACAAATCCTACAACTGTACTTCTCAAAAAGTGTGCTCCCCAGTGTGGAGACACATAGCAGTTTGAACTGGGGAACTGGATGTGTAACATTAACTTTGGTGGGTGTGTTAATTTGAATGAGAATTGCCCCCATAGGCTCATATTCGAATTGTTTGGTCCCAGTTGGTGGAACTGTTTGGAAAGGATTAGGAGGTGTGGCCTTGTTGGAGAAGGTGTCACTGCTATGGGCTTTCTGAGGTTTCAAATGCCCATGCAATTCTCAGTTAACTCTCTCTGCTTCCCATTCATGGGCCAAGATGTGAACCCTCAGCTAGTAGTCCAGTACCATGTCTTCCTGCCTGCTGGAATGCTCCTCCCACCAAGGTGGTCAAGGACTCTAAACCTCTGGAACTCTGAGCCTAAAATTAAATTCTTTCTTTTATAAGTTGCTTTAGTCATGGTGTTTATGTCATAGCAACAGAAAAATATAAGACAGAGAGTAACAATTTTGGCAGAAAAAAATGTTTCTGGCTACACATCTCATTTCTTAATGGGAAATCTCCCTTTTATATACTGTACTAGTTGTAGATGAGGGCCAAGGGCTTATGGATTGTTTCTGGTTCCACATCTCTACCAGGAATGTGCACCCTTCGCCCGAATCCCAAGACAGCTATGAATGTGGCCCAATGCATTTATGTATGATGACAAGATCATTTTATATGCTGCGATGACAGAACGATGAACACTCCTACCTGCCCTCCCTATGCCCTGAATTATACCATCTTGCTTATTGTATGGTTCTATCTATTAATTTCCAACTAACACCCTCCATCCCCCCACACGTTCTCAATATTCTTCTCCCCTCCTATCCTCTGTTGTCTTCTGAGGTTATCTAAGGGACTGTTCCCAAGAGCTGGTAGGAAAACCTAGATAACAAGAAAAGCAAACCCATTAGGTCAGAATACAAAAGAGTTTTTAGCTCTCAGTCCTGAGGCCTCTCTAGGCATCCTACTGACAGCATGGGCTCAGCAGCCTGATCTGACCAGACACAGGTCCTGTAACACACACACTCCTTTGCAGTCACACACATTTGTCCCCAAGGTGTGAGACCACTCAGAAGCTTTTGCAAACGTTCAGTAACTTATGAATATTTTATACTTATACTGACATATTTACTATTTCAGAACTATGCTCCAGTATCTGGATTTTGAAGAAATCAGACCTTCTGGTGAGGAAGGCATTGTAATACATATCTGCTTTTACCCATGAATTAATTAGAAGGCTAACTGCCTCTCCACAAGTACAGGACAGCACCCACACTGCTTTGAGTGTCATGCCATTTTCAGAAGCTTGTTAAGCAGAATCAAGACTGTGTTTCTTGTGATTCTGAGTAACATTCCACTCGTAGTGAGCGTGTTAAACTGACGGGATAACAGCAAAGGCAATCAAGCTGCTACTGCCTACAGCGGAAGCTTTGAAAAAGAAAGAAAATGCAAAGTCCTCTGGAAATACAAGCACTGCAAACCCAGGCCCTGGCCACTGCTTACTCTCCCTTGCCTACTCTTTTCCTCCAGCACTGAGGAAGATTCTCACCTACCATCCATAGCTGAGTCTTCTCTGTGGTCAGACAGTAAAATCTCCAAAGTCTCCGGTGTAAGAAAGATCATAAATCCTGAGGAACACGTTTATGACCATTTTTTCTTTCTCTCATTCTTTCTCCTTTTGGTGGTCTGGCAAGATGTTGAGCAAAACAATCCTACCGAGACTATATTTCCTACCTTAATGGACAAACTGCCATTATGCAGACCATGGCATCAGGAGAGATGGAATGCTGTCTTGGTTAGGACACAGCGGGGAGCTTTTCTCCAGCATCACACTCCTGTGCTGGTTTTCTTTGTGAAGACAGTTCTAACCCTTTCCAACTCTTCATAAGGAAGGTGCGCACATCCATGCTTCTATACGCACTGGCTTTGTAGGAACTATTTCACACCTGGACACTTACCAATGGCCTTTGTATAATGCCTGGCACCGAGTAAAAGTTCTGGAGCCCGATACCAAAATGTCACAACCACTGGATCCAAATCGGCGAGTGGCTTTAGAGGAGAATTGAATAATCTGGCAAAACCCATGTCAGCTGAAAAATAAGACAAATACATAAAACTCAATTTGACATGCTATTAGAGCCATGAGGGGTTGGTAACTGCCACTAACCTTTCAAAGATGGATGCTTGCTCTAAAAACTGCACCCTGGTTAGGAACGGCACTGTTTCCTTTTACTGAGACAGAGCCCTCTACACTATCTGCTTTACTGACGAGAAAACTGAAGGGCAAAAGAATGTTGACCTTGAGAGCACAAGAGTTACGTTCAGCTGCAGCTCCCTGGCTTTCAGGAGCAGTCAGGACATTCTAAAAGTCCCTTTGTTTAGAGACTGGGAACTGACGACACACAACACTGAAATCAGCTGCTGCAAACTCAGGAGGGCTGAATGACATGCATCTCTTCCCAACTCTGTGTTCAGTGACAGCGGACTACAGATATAGAATTGGCTATGGAGGAGCAATTAGAGCATGCAAAACAGAAAATACCATACTGGGACCTTTCTCCTAGAAAGTCGATTCTAACAGCATGTCATACACAATCCCAAGAACACACATAAAACATATAGTAGATAATTGCTAAAAAAGACATGTAGGCAATTGCTATAGTAATTAATTTAGCAAAGATGTAAACAAAAGCTAAGTATTAAGGGGTACTTGTCACTATAAAGTTCTAGAGATCCTTTTTATGATTTTCTAAATAAGAAGTACCTTACATCCATAAGACACTTTACAAATGGCATCTATACACTCCATATAACCTCATTTCACCTTCATAAGAACATTAGTTTAGTACTTTGCTTCTTACTTCTGAGATGAAGAATTTAAAGACAAAAACAACTAAATTACTTGTCTATACTCACATGAATAGCAAGTACTCAAACAAACATGTTTTGATTTAGTAGCTATTTTCTTCTGTGTACTCTGTGTACATGTGTGCACATGTAGAGTGGGACAGAGGTTGACATTAGGTGTCTTTATTACTCTTACGTTGTCTATCCACTTCTGAGAAATTGAAACAGTTCATCCCAGAGCAGGGAAGCATTTTAGCTTCTTATTGGGATGGACTGTTAGAAACCAGAAGGAAAACAACTTCTGGTTTCAAAACAGCTTCAGGAAGTCCCTAAAACTGATCAGATTCACTATTTCCCTCCTTCCCAAAGATCACAGTAACAACCAAGACAGACACCAGCCCAGCTGCCTGGAAGAAGCAGAGACCAGCCCAGCTGCCTGGAAAAGATTTAGAACAACTAAGTCACTTGCAAAGGACACTCTCCAACCTGCTGAGTTGCCTGCAGGCTGTGTAGTATGCTTCAGGTTCCCAGTTGTCACCTGTACTGAGGTGAGCTTTGGTGATGCATCTGTCTTTGAGTCATTTCTGCTCCTGTAAGTAACCCTTCACTTAAATTCCTGTAAGTAACCCCTCACCCACCACAAAATTGGTCTCTGGTGGCACCCTACTTTGCTCTGTCATGAGCTCCCTCTCTAGGGTGAGTAGACTACTGCGTGGTGTTTCCCCAGGAAAAGTTTAGTCATACAACATCCATCACCTTAGTTTTCAGACAGGGTCTCTCCCTGGGCTCAACACACTCACTAGTCTGGCTGTCCAGCAAGCTCCAGAATCCGTCTGCTTCCAACATCTCCAGCTCTAGGTTAACAGACTAACTTCTAAAATGGGTGCTGGGGATCTGAACTTAGGTATTTCATACTTGTAGTTAGGTACTTCAACTAAGGCACCTCCCAGTCCTTCAGTACTAGACTTTTTAAAAATAGTACTACATTCTTTTTTTTTAAAGATTTATTTATTTATTTATTACATATACAATGTTCTGCCTACATGCCAGAAGAGGACACCAGATTGAATTGTAGATGGTTGTGAGCCACCATGTGGTTGCTGGGAATTGAACTCAGAACCTCTGGAAGAGCAGACAGTGCTCTTAACCTCTGAGTCATCTCTCCAGCCCCTAGTATTACACTCTTAAGCACTGACTGACATCCAATAAATTATACACATGGTAATTACAAACCACAAAAGCAGAGTCACAAGAATAATAATTTCTATAATTTAAAATATAGAATATACACAGTACATTTTGAATGTGTAAGGGACTTTGAGTACTATAAAAAGAACAAATGCAGGTAACTATAATGGGTCATTTAATTAGACTAAGTATGCTATAATATGCATTAAATTATAATTAATTATATTGTTTCTTTAGAGTTTGAAATGATATATATATAATGCTTCATGAAACTGCTTTGGAGAATTGAGTTCTTAAAAATAAGTTAACCAAGGAAACCCATGCCGATGCCTATCCTTTTAAAACTAAATTTCTCCAGTGCAAACAAAGACAGTCAATATTTACCAATATTACACCTATTATCATGATAAGATATATCACTGAAAGCACTACCTTCTGAGTGACAGATGCTAGCTACTGTTGTTGGTAAACATGATAATGGAAATGTATGATGGGATGCTGTTTTGCCCACTAAAAAGCATTTTATATTAGAGGCAAAAGCAGATGTTTCTCTTCTTTACCTCTTACCTAAATTTTAAAAATTAATAAGTAATTCACTTATTTTTGGAGATAGGGCCTCACCATGTAACCCTGGCTGACCTGGAGCTCCCTTTACCTCCCAAGTGCTGGGACTAAAGACATGTGCCACCAAACCTGGATCATGTGCCACCATGCCTGGTTCCATCTCTTAATTCTGTTTAATTCACTGTCAAATGAAGCCAAGGCCAGAAGAAAATAAGTACAATTCCATCCTACTGAATAAAGCTTACAGGAACTTTTTCTAATAATTACTAATTTAGAAACAGCTAACCTAAACATGGCTTTGAATGTTTTCTAAAATACAATGTGTACGAAGCTGTTCAATTAAATGGACTGGTAAGCCAGGCAGTGGTGGTGCACACCTTTAATCACAGCACTCAGGAGGCAGAGGCAGATGGATCTCAGTTGCAGCCAGCTTGGCTTACAAGCAAGTTCTAGGACAGCCAGGGTTACAAAGAGAACCCTGTGTGGATGGGGGGTGTTAACTAGGCAGCATCTAACAACAGACAAGGAGCAACACCAGAGTCTAAGACCAAACAAGTCTGCATGACATAAGCACACAGATAACAGGAGTCAGTTCTGTCTGTTCTAACACAAGCTAAGTCCCTCAGCCGGAGGGTCTCCATCTCCTTCAAGGTACCATCTGGAAGGGTGTTTTTAAATAAATGCAGTGGAAATAGACTACATTGAAAAAACAGAACTTGAGCTGGATTTTGAAATTTAAGTCTTTTGAGATAGGGAGGGATAAGGGATGTTAGATAAGGACTGCTAAATATTTTTGGTTTCTTGAGACAGGTTCTTACTCTTATCCCAGGCTGTCCTAGAATTCACTATGTAGCCCAAGACCATCAATCCTCTCATCTCAACCTCTGAAGTGCTAAGTCACTGGGGCATAAGCAACACTGGGGGGGGGGTCTTTGAAGCTGTTGGGGAGAAAGGGTACAATGTACCTTTTACCACTCTGATGGAGATGTCCTTCTATATGGTGTGAATATATGTTTCTCTTATTGGTTGATGAATAAATGGTGATTGGCCAGTAGTCAAGCAGGAAGTATAGGCAAGGTTACCAGACTAGGGATACTGGGAAGAAAAGGCAGAGAAGCAGTTGCTTGAGAGAGATGCTACTAGGAAGATAGGGCGCCGGCCAATCTCCGGTAAGCCAATATGTGGAGATACTTTAATTAATAGAAATGAGTTAATAATTAAGAGAGAGCTAGCCAACAAAAAGCCTGAGTCATGGGCCAAACAGTTTATAATTAGTATAAGACTCAGCATGTTTATTGGAACTAAATGGCTGTGGGACTGGGTAAGACAGAAAGTCCATCTTTTCCACTCAACTGTGCTGCTCTTTGGCATCTGTAGACTTCTATTATCTTTACCACTGGGATTGAACCCAGGGTCTCATCCATGCTATGCAAACACCCTGCCTTGAGTGCCCTAAGCCCCCACTTTACTATTTTTAAACAGTGGTTCTGGGGCTTTGGAAGCAGCATGGTGGTAGATTATCATACATACACAAACATGGCATAAAGACAAAGTTTACAAGGAACTGAATTATAATTACTGTTATTTACTGCTTAAATTTTAATTAATTCCCAATCTTAAACAGATCTACAATCTTAAAATTTTTAACAGTAAGGTAACTGACCTGAGCAGAGAACAGAATTTTATGTTGACTTAGATTTGAGTGATTAAGGTAGACATAGTCAACGATACAAAAACAATAAAGCGTCTAAGAAAATGGTGATGAAGTTTCTTGGAGACAACATAGCTCAGGTTGCCAAGAGGGACAAATAACAAACAATAAAGACTTCTGCTAGAGTCCAGACATCCAAATTGTAGAATCATTTTCATAACATCTAAATTTTGAGATCATAGATTGCCAAATGTTTGAATAAATAATTATATAGGGGGGCTGTGTCCCAAGTCAGTGCTGAAGGTGTCCTGAAATGGCATGCTACTGAGAGCAACAGGAGCACAGTACAAAAAGCAAAATCTGAAGACAGAAAATCAACCACATAATGTGAGACAGCCTCAGGACAGATTGCTCAGGAGACACCATGCACTGTGATAACTGACTCAGGCCACAGGATCTGTGAAGGCAGAGGTCATAGGCACAGGTCTTTTCAGAGACAGGCTTGACAAAAGTGGATTTCAAGGTGAGATTCTAACAAATTGTTGTAAATGAAACCAAAGAATGAACATTAAGGCTATCTTAGGAGTAGAGGAACAATGGGGTGTACCAACATGGGACAAAGGGACAAAAATGCTAAAAAACCAAGCTGGAGGCATGAACTGAAGTGGCATAGAAAAAGTTATAACTAGTTTAAAGACACTATAAGGCAAAGCCATGGATGTAACTTAGTGATTGTAGGGTTAGAATGTTGCAGATCCAGAGCCAAATTATCTTGAGCTATCTTGTGTCCTCTTAATAGCCATCTAACATCTTTTCAAACGTCAGGTAAAACCTTTGGGATGCATTCACAGACCCTGTCTGGCATTTCCAAGCACCTCTGTGTTAGAGCGCTTTAGAGGGTAATTCTTCCATTTGTAGTTTCTCCCATCAAACTTGGGCTATAGAACTAAATAGAGAATTCTCAATAGAGGAATCTAAAATGGCTGAGAGACACTTAAGAAAGTGCACAATATCCCTAGTCATCAGGGAAATGCAAATCAAAACAACTCTGAGATACCATCTGACTCCTGTCAGAATGGCTAAAATCAAATACACCAATGACAGTTTATGCTGGAGAGGATGTGGAGGGAGGGGAACACTCCTCCACTGCTGGTGGGAATGCCAACTTGTACAGCCACTTTGGAAATCAGTATGGAGATTCCTCAGGAAAATGGGAATTAATCTACCACTAGACCCAGCAATTCCACTCTTAGGCATATACCCAAAAGATGCTCATTCATACAACAAGGACATCTGTTCTACTATATTCAAAGCAGCATTATTTGTAATAGCCAGAACCTGGAAGCAACCTAGATGCCCTCAACTAAAGAGTGTATAGAGAAAATGTGGTACATTTACACAGTAGAGTACTATTCAGCGGAAAAAAACAATGGAATCTTGAAATTTGCAGGCAAATGGATGGCACTAGAAGAAACCATCCTGAGTGAGGTAACCCAGTCACAAAAAGAGAAACATGGTATATACTCACTCATATATGGATTTTAGACATGGATCAGGGGAGTGCCAGCCTACAATCCCACTGCCAGAGTCTGAGAAACAGGGAGGATCCTAAGATAGATATGCATGGTACTCCAGATAAGAAAAATAAGGCAAGATCTCCTGAGCAGATTAGGAGCATGGGGGGAGGGGAGAAGAAGCTGGGAAAAAGAGAGGGGGAGGGGACGGGAGGACAGGACATGGGGAAGTACGAAGGTTGAGTCCGGGGGAAGAATAGAGGAGAGCAGGATGAGAGATACCATAATAGAGGGAGTCATTATAGGTTTGAGGAGATATCTGGCACTTGTGAGATTTCCAGAGATCTACAAGGATGACATCAACTGGCAAACTAAGCAATAGTGGAGAGACTACCTACCGTAAATGCCCCTCCCTGATAATGAGTTCAATTACTTCCTTTTATGCCATCCTAGAACCTTCAACCAATGACTGATGGAAGCAGAGGCAGACACCCACTGCTAAATACTGAACTCAACTCCTGGAACCCAGTGACAGAGAGGGAGGACTGATGAGCAAAGGGGTCAGACCAGACTGTTCTTGTTTAACCCACAGAAACAGGTGACCTGAACAAAGGAGAGCTCTTGGACCCCAGACTGATGGGAAGCCAGCATGGGACTGACACAGACCCCCTGAATGTGGGTTTCAGTGAGGAGACTCAGGCAATCTATGGGGCCTTGGGTAGTATACCAGTATCTATATCTGGCATACAAATGGACTTTGGGTGCCCATCCCACAATGAGTGATGCTCTCTCAGCCTGGACTCTTGGGGGAGGGCCTAGGCCCTGCCCTGAATGAAATGATAGCCTCTGGATTTCCCCCATAGAGGGAGGGCCTTACCCTCCCTAGGGAACAGAGTGGGAATTGGGAGGGCTGGGGGATGTGGGAGGAGGGGAGGGAAAAGGAGCTGGGATTGACATGTGAAGCAACCTTATTTCTAATTTAAATAAAAAAATCTAAAAAAAGAAAAACAGAAGAGTAAAGAAAAACTTAAAAAAAAAGACACGTGTGTGTGTGTGTGTGTGTGTGTGTGTGTGTGTGTGTGTGTGTGTGTGTGTGTGTGTGTGTTTATTGTTGAAGGTATGGCTACTGGCAGGTTGTCCAGAATCAGGGACACAGCCATACACCTTTGTGCATATTGGCAGCACTAAACATACACTCAGCACTCATGATTTTAAAGAGGGCAAGAGGGTGGGTTGAAGGACTGTCTGTCAATGAGTAAACAAGAATATTCTTAAAAATTACCAAATAATATTCCTAGTCTGACAACAAACAGTAAATCAGTGGGAAAAATTATGAAAAAAATATGAAATAACTTACTAGAGTTCCAGTTTCTTTTCTGATTAAAGAAATAAGATTTTATTAGGCCCATAAATGCTGATCTCTCACAGGTTTGGCCTCTTGCTTCTATCCCTGACAGTAGTAAAACTTGGTACATACAGAAAGGAAAATGGTGTTTGAAAGAAACTTTAAAATTACTAACCGATTTCTTCTGTAATGTAACTACTATTATCCAATTATTTACCCAGGCTTTCCAGTATAATGTCAAAATAATAGGACAAATAAAAAATATCACAATATCTAAAATAACACGGACATTAAAGACCAATCTTTAAAAAAAACTGGCCACACCACATAAAGTTATGGCTCCAAAAATCAAACTGGGCCAAAACAACCCCCCCCCAAAAAAACCCAACCAAACAAACAAAAAACCTCACTAAAATTAAAACAGTAATACATTGTTCCATATATCCCAAACATCAAGCAAAAGATTTCACAGAATATAAATTATCATAGACACAGAGAGAAGCACAGTTTCAGGAGCTTTTTTGAGTTGGGGATTTGGTTAAAAATGTCTATCACTGTCATCTGCTACCTTTGGGTCTTTAACCATACCGTGCTCTTGGTTGCGTTAGCTTCAGATGTAATGTTTGTATTATGTCACATGTAAATATACACGTCAGACACAGAGGGCAAAAAAAGGGAAAAAAGGCTGGGCAGTGGTGCCTCATGCCTCTAATCCCAGCACATGGAGGCAGAGGATGGCAGAACTGAGTCTGAGGCCAGCCTGGTTTACAGAGTGAACGGCTGTCTTGAAAAACCAATAAAAAAAAAAAAAATCTGACCTGGATCCTGGCAGCTAACATGTTATATGACATGGGGCTCCTTCCTTGGTGATTCTGATAGTCTCCCTCTGCTGTCAACTGCTATCCTGCCTACTCAGTTTCACCTTTATCAGATGCTAGAAATGAGCCTTCCCAGCACCGTAAGACCCAAAACAACCTCCAGTCTCTACACATACAAAATGTGGTAAATACCAAGGAGAAACAAATTGCCGCACCCATGTTAAAAGGTTCAACAGGGCTAATGATTAGGACTCTCTGGTTGTGGAAAATTGGAAATTTTCAGGTCCAGAGCCAAGTGGATATTGTTATTCCCTGTTTCTGTGTCTGGTATATCTTTTCAACCATCAGATAAAGCCTCTAGAACATATTAACGGACCTTTAGGCTCCATCAACCAAAAAGCTAAGAATGTGATCAGATACTAAATCCACAGGAGAGCTGTCCATCTGTCCATGCCATCATCACACACCTACCACTCAGCTTTGTTACCAGCCGGCTGACTATCTACCGGATGTTTCTGTCCATGCATTTGGGCAATGCCTTGACTCATGGCTTTCTTTTGTTCTGTGACCACAAAAGTTGGTTGCAACTGCTCCCACAATGCAACTAGCTATTGGGGACAACCTGAATCCATGCTCAGAGGTCACAGTCACTGTGTTTGACTCAAAATAAATTCTCTCTTCATCTGGGAACAAGGGAACAAGAATCGTGTTTTGTATTGGCGGAGGTAAGATTCAGTTTAAAATGGAAGGAGGGTTGTCGGTGTTTAAGGGAACAGGAACAGTCTGAAAAGAACGAAGTGACAATGCTGCAATGCAGGGACCTTAAGAACACCCGTTTGTTTTTAGAGACTACAAGGGAACTAGCAGGTTCACAGAACCAGTGAGGAAGCATGAGGCTGTAAGGAAGTCTCAGGACAGGGCTGGAATCCCAGCCACAGCTTAGAGAGTGAGCAAGGCACAACTCTGCAAATCCAGTTTTCCTTCACTGGCTTCCTTCAGGAGGCAGCTACGTGGCTGAGGTAACAATAAGAACCACACTGCACCGTAAAATGTTTGCCTGACTGTTCTCAGGGGGAGGACTATCTTTTATCTCCTTTTCACTTTTGCAGAGCAAAAGTCTTTAATAAATGCCTGTGAGAAAATGTAAGCCTTAAAATAAAAATAAAAACAAATATGGGAAAGGACCAGGAAGGGAAAAGTAACTATCAGGTATTTAACAACAATGCAGTTTCAATGAAGGTCAGCTCCACTCCAATCAGGCAGAGGGCCAAAGCAGGTTTACTAGTTTAGAACAGCTTCTTCCAGAACTGGACTGGGGAGGAAGATGCTGAAGCAGGAAGCAAATAGCAGGGCAGGTTGGCTGAAGCGGGCAGGCTGTATCACCTCCAGCATCAACGCTCTACTAGCAAACAAAGTTCACTAAAACTCTTCCTGCCTGGGTTAATGGGCACAAACAAGCGTCCAACAGGGATGACAGTGCCTGGTTAGACACGCTGCTGAGGACAGGGGAGTGGGATCCCATGGGAGAGCTGCTGTGCATTAAGTCAGGGTTAGGGCAATGTAAGTGGGAACAGGTACTAAGCAGGAAAATGGCAGTGACACACTTGGCATACTGTATGGGAGCAAATGTTTATGGGGGCTTGTTAATTGATGCCTCAATTTAGAATGACAGGATTTTATTTTGAGGAAAGAGCTGTGGAAAAACTGGTGGATTTATAGACTACTACATTTTCCAACATCTTTTCTAGAAACACTCCAAGAAAATAATTTTAAAATCAACAACTTAAGAAAGGGTATTAAAAGGGGAAAAACATCTTTGTAATCACCTTGGTTTCTTCATCGATTATCTTAGGAATAATTACCTACCTATTTTGACTCTCCCCCTTTCAGGACCTTCTCCCATTACTAGGATATTTGCTGGTTTCTAGAAATAAAAATAGAGCATTCAAATTACTACATTTATTCTTTTGACATGCTCCAAAATGGAAATTTTCTCATATGAAAATATAATTTGTGTACTTTCACTTAGTCTAAACTAATTAAAGATTAAGCACCTTTTACAGTTAAAGCATTTGATATCCTTGAAGTTAGAACTACATTCATATAAACATCTTTGGCAGGGAAACATACCTATTTTCAAAATTGTGTCATGTAAAAAATTATTACAAAGTAATTAAAACTATCATTTCTATTTGTCCCATAAGTTAAAAACCTGCACAAATTAAATACACTTATTTTTAACATAAAAACTTGAAAACACAATATAACAACATTCACTAAGTAAATCATATGAGAATTCCTTGCTAAGTATTTTTGGACTGTGGGAAGGTATCACTAACATACAGACAGGCTCCATTAGAATTCATGTCAGCTATAATAAAAGCAAAAGTAAGAAACTTCAAATACAATTTCAAACTGTAGGACAATAAAAACCAAAGTCCATGTGGGCAGTGGTGGAGCACACCTTTAATCCCATCACTCAGAAGCAGAAGCAGGCTGATCTCTGTGAGTTCAAGGCCAGCCTGGTCTACAGAACAAGTTCCAGGACAGACAGAGCTCTGTAATGAGATCCTGTCTTAAAAACAAAACAAACACAAAGCCAAAGCCAACACAGAGCTCTACAAAGAAAAGAATAAGCCACAGACTTCAAGCCTTTCCCATGGTCCTCACCTGCAAACATGTGGAAACAAATGGTGGCAACCTACTGGGGGAGGAAGGGAGCCTAACTCCTCTGAAAACTTGGGAGAGAAAAATGTATGTACTAGAATTGATTGTACTCATTTACTCTGTGGATAGATAGATGGATACACAGAGTGAGCCTTCTTTTGAGATAGTCTCTCTTGCTCAGAGACTTTTCCACGTTGCTGATGTTTAAGAAAGCTCTCCAATGAAAACAATAAGCACACGCACAAATGTGCGAATGAAGTGACTAGCCGTTTTATTACAGGCAGGGACAGAGTCCATTGACCAGACACTCAACAACTATCAGGAGCTGAGTAAAGAAAGGAGAGGCTTCTGCTGAGCAGTCTCAGTCAGTGAAGTCATCTGACCCTTACACAGAAGCAGAGACCAGGACTGCTGTGAAGAGAAGCACAGAGCAGGGGTGGGGCTGAGAAACACTTTAGAGAAGAAAGTCCATAGGACTTTGTAGCAAAAGGAAAAGAATTAACAAAAACCAAAACAGAGACCACACCAAGGTCTTGGCTTCATTCGACAAGAGGAATGACCGTGCCTTTTGTGGAACTTGAAAACTGTGAGAGGAACTGGCGTGGGACGCTGTAACAGAGCAGATGACACCAGGTTTGCTATCATGAGATGCTCAAGTCACAGCAGCCAAGAGAGCGAGGCAGGATGATTTGGACTAGAAGTCATTGCCCAAGGAGTGTGATGACTAAATTAAGGTCACCGGGGCAGAAAGGGTAAAACAGCACCAGGTGAAAAACAATCCTTCATAATTCAAGTTTGGTAACTGTCAATGGCTATCAGGTTGATTACAAAAATGTTATACTGCAGACTTTTAGGAAACAAAAGGAAATACATGACGACCTGGATTTCTAGGAGCCTGGGGAAGATGGAGATAGTTTTAGAATAGAGTATTCTGAAAGTATTGCCAGTAGGGGTGGCGCACACCTTTAATCCCAGTACTCAGGGGACAGAGGCAGGCGGATCTCTGTGAGTTCGAGGCCAGCCTGGTCTACAGAGTGAGTTCCAGGACAGCCTCCAAAACAATACAGAAACTCTGTCATGAAAAACAAAACAAAACAAAAAGATCCAGGGAGAAACACAAAGCAGAAGAAAATCGCTAATCTCTGAGACAATTGGAGCAGGAGCACATGAGGCAGAGTGAGAAGAGATGCAGCAATGACAGAGTCCCACAGAGAACTGTGCCCTTTCAAGACATGTACGCAAGGTAGAGAAGGTCAAGAAATGAGCCGGGTGCCATGGTGCATGTCTGTAACTCCACAACTCAGGACAAAGAGGACAAAGACAAGCGCAAGTTGGAGGGCAGTGAGGCTATATTGTGACAGCCTGTGCAAGAAAGAAAGGCAAGAGGAGGGAGGAATGGAGACAGGCTGGTTGCTAGAAGAATTAAGCAACCTAGGCTACATATCACTCAGTTTTCCTGCCAGTGTCATAGCAGGACTCTATCAAAATACAACAACAAACCAGGACCAAGGGTGCAGTTCCACAGCAGAGCACTTACTTAGGGTTAATTTCCAGAACCTCAAAACAAACAAACAAACATCAGAGAGCTAAGAGCAGCCAAGATGCTTGTGACAGGGTGTATGTTGGAGGGTGGAAGAGTAGGTATAAGAATTGAGCTCAAAGCAAAACATCAAGACTTGTTTCAGATCTATAGCAGAGGCTCAGGTAAGATGACCAAAGGACTAGAGTGAGGACCTAGGGGAGATGAATGATGCAGGAATAACAATGGGTTACTCAAAGACAAAACAAAACAAAATAAATCCTTACCTCTTAACATAAATACATCAATTTCAAGTGGAATAAAATGTAAATGACATAATAAAAGTTTGAATAAAAAAACACAAAAATAACATTTCTTTCTTTTTTTAAGATAGGAACTCACTACAGAGTCAGCTGGTTTCAAATTCGGGATTCTCCTGTTGAACTCAGCCTCCTGAATACTGGACTAGAGGGTACATCATGACATTTGGCAAGACTATCTGATCCTGGTAGGCATCTTCTTCTTCTTTTTTCTCATAGATTTACTTGATTTTTAACTGTGTATGTGTGGGTATGTCTTCGCACATTATACAGTCTCCACAGAAACAAGGCAGCATCAGATCCACCCGAGTTAAAGGAAGTTCTAGGAGGCTGTGAGCCACCCAGTGTGGGTGCTGAAAACTAAACTCAGGTCCTCTGCAATGTCTCCATACCCAAACATATTTCTTTACGAAGACATTACAATTTTTTATCATAAAAGATAGATAAATTTTGCCAGATTAAAATAATTTCCAATCATCAAAACAAAGAAAATAAAATCCACAGCACAAACAGGAACAGTATTTATAAGATGAAAGAAAGACCTACAAGTCAAAATTTAAAAAAAATCAACTGTATAGAAAATAAGGGAAAAAATAAGATATTTATAGCAAAAAATATTTTAAACCAAAACCCGTATGGAAAGATGATCCACTACATCAGTACTGATAAAAAAAAAGGCAAAGTGAGAGCCATGAGAAGGCATTTTATCCCACCAAATTGGTTAAAAAAAAAAATTAAAACCTGAACAACAGAAGTGCAGCAGTGCTAACGCCCATACATTTCTGGTGGGTGAATGCATTGGCACAATTTGTTTGAAAAATAATTTGGTATAATTTTGCAAAAGTGAGTAACTGCATCACTTTGAATCAGTAATTTCAGTTTTACATAATACCAGAGAATATCTGTAATAACACAGTTCATAATTTTAAGAAAATTACTGAAATACAAAGAGATATAAACTCATGGCTAATCTTGGAAGTAGTATACTGCATGAAAAAAAGTTTGAAAAGGTATCTGTAACAGAACACCATTTCCACAGAGCTCAAATCCAACCAGAGTGAAACACACTGATTAGGGAGGCACACAATGAGATAAACCTATTTTTAACTGCAGAGAATAAGAGCCTCAAAATCTAGGCCATCTGTTGTCTTAGGAGGAAGAAGAGACTAGAAAGGGAAAAAACGAAACAGGCATGCTGCAAGTAATGGCTACTTGGTAAGTGGTAGGTTCTCAGCAGTCTGTGCATCTCTATGCTTTTAGCATATATAAATACTGCAAATATTTCTGCATGTGCATAGTAAGATGATGGGAGCAACCAAAAATAAAACAAGAAACGGGATTGGAAGGTACTGTCTTTAACAATGTTTTTAAAAATCAATATTTTTAAACATTATTTTATGCTCTACAGAGAATGCCTCTTTAAGAAGGTAACACTTGGAATAAGATCTGAAGGAAGAGCATTAGGGAGTGTGCCACCGAGGCGGTTAGAGAAGGTCATCTAGAGTATGTTCATCTAGAGTATGCAAGGCAAACGTTCCTGGTGAACTGTAGGGTATGAAGAACCATGGTGGTTACAAGGACAAGCACAATGATGATGATTATAAAAAGGAGACCAGGAAGGACTTGCCTCCTATGTCAAGTGATTCCATTTTTACAAGAGCCCTGTGAGTAACCAGAACTGGGTAGGTTCTTGAGTGTGTACTCTAATAGCTGTTAAGGGTTGCCATAAGAGGACCAGGTGGGCAAGAGGTATGAGAGAGGGGGCAGAGAGAAGAAAGGTGAAGGGGGGGAGGCTGAGACCAAGGTTAGCGGGAGAAAAGGTAAGCGTTTTGACAGCACAGGGTCCCTGTAAGTGGTTGTCAGATGTAAACAATGAAATCTGAGATGTGGCCAAAATGGATGATTAGGTCATTGGTGACTCAATAAAAATAATTTTTCTTCAATTTTAGAAGCCAGATATACTAAATGAAACTCAAGTTTGTGTAAAGAAGGCAGAGACAATCAGAGTAAGATTCAAAGGCCTTAAGTAAGAATGATTGTCTCTGATAGGTCATGAGTTTTAAATTATAAGATTGTCATATTGTATAAGCCATTTTCCTACAGTATTGGTAATTCCAAAAGTCTGAGCTTTTAAAGCACTTTAAAATTCTAAGGTATAAACACAATGTCTGTGACATGGGAACAACAAATCATTTCTGAAAGAAACAAAATGCAAGAACAGAAACAGGTTTATATTATCTAATGTTATTAGAAGTTCTTGTGCTCAAGTTATGCTGGAAAACGATGCTGGCACTCCAATGAAATGAGACTACAGGGAGGAAGAGGGTCTGAGGAGAAGGTCTGTGACAGCATACTGAACGCCTGTGGAAGGAAGCTTAAGCGTGAGGGGTTCATGCTGTTGACACAAAGGCAGACACA